AGCAGTGGCCACTCCCAGCCACCGCAGCCTCGACCTGCTGGGCTCCGGCGATCCTTCCGCCTCAGCCTTCCAAGTAGCCGGAATTACAGGCACGCGCTACCACGCCTGGCTGATTTTTTGATTTATTGTAGAGATGAGGTCTCACTGCCCAGGCAGGTCTCGAACCCGCGGGCTCAGGCCATCCACTCACCTCAGCCTCCCAAAGGCGCGGGATGACAGGTTGAGCCACCGAGCCCATAGCTCTTAAATAACGTCTCTCTAGCCTCATCCCACTATCTGTGCTCTAGAGCTCAAGCTTTCATCATCCTCCTTCTACTTCGTGAATTTACCTTCACTGTATCCTTGCTCTTGCTGTCTTCTTTGCCCAAAATGCCCACCCTCCCTCTCCCTCAGCAGGGAAACTGCCCATATGGTGGTGTAGGTTGTTGACAGCATAAGGACACCTTATGAGAGTGATCTGTTAACCAAGCTATGTGCACTTTTCCTAATGTACAAAAAAAGCACCAAACAGAAGAAGCCATTCATTCTAGAGCTTCCAAGTTCCACTCCTCTGTGAGCATTTCTGCCCTATTGTCCCTGACCTGCTCCCAAGACAGAGTTAACGACACACTCCTCCATTGTGCGTTCAGTGTGCCACACTCTCCTCTACTGCAGCACCCAGCACCATAAGTAGGAAATTATTTTCCTCTGTCAACCCACTCTGCTAGACCCCAAGCTTCCCAAGGGCAGGGAAAGCATCTTCTTCGCCAGTCACAGGGTTGCCCGCAGCAGAGCTGTGAAGACGTGCAGTGAATGCTTCCAGGCATCTACTCCTCTCCTACTTAATCTTAGTGTAAGAGGATGAGTCTCCAGTCCGCTAAGGGGCTGGAGGCAAGCGTGGGTGAGGGCCAGGAAGTTGATGGCATAGATGCGCCCTAAGAAGCTCGAGGCTTCCCCTAAAATGCTCAGGCTTCTTTCATAAATGTCTTTCACTGCTTGTGGTTTTTACCAAACTGCATCTGAAAGAAACGAGGTCTCAGTTTAAGTTCTCTCTAATTTTCCCACAAACTTCCTCCTCAAATTTTATCCCAGTGCATACTTTTCACTATTACATCTCTCTGGCTCCAGTGAAAGTCTCTGTATATCTATCTAGATAGCTCCTTTTCAAATCCTTTGTGAAATAAAGTAGGATATAAATACACTACCTAAAACTCACCCAGGGCCTTGTCCGGTACCTAGCTCACAGTGAAGACTCAAATTCATTGAATGAATGAACGAAACAGACAGCTGTTTACAGTTCTGTGTATGTATGAACTGTTACTCCTCTGTACCCAGAGGGCATGGGAATGCCTTCTGCTTATTCTACAGGTCCTCTAAAACCATTCTGTGTGTATAACAAGGATTCAAATAGTTTGGAATAATAATACTTCACATTTCTGAAGATCTTTAAACCTCTTCCAAGGATATTTATTTCATACCAGTCCAAGTGTTTGTACCATATGAGAGTTGAGAAGACCGAAGCAGAGAGGACAAAAGTCATCAAAAACACAAAGCGCACATGGAGCAATGTAATTGGTCGGGGAGCTGGCACTGGAGCCCTGGCCTGAAGTCCATGGCCTTGTGTTGTTTCCCTCCAATCACATCGTTTCCCCAATGACAGTGCACCAAAAATAGCACCACTGTGACCAATAACTCCTTTTTTCCAACTGCAGAAGATTTCCAACTTCTGAATCTTGTTCATTTTCACAAGTTTCCCACGAGGCTGGGAAGGGCCTCCAAGACGCTAAACAACACTCTGCCCAAGGGCCTCATGTGGCCCAAACCTTCCAGCCCCTATCCACTGTCCTGGAACTCCACACATCACATGCTCCTGGATCTGGCACTACCTTAGTTCCTACCTCCTAGATTCCATCTTCAGTGTCCAGCAACGGCCCACCTTTCCTCCGCTTCTCTTGAGAGTCATTTCAGGTGTTAACATGATGGTACCGCATACATTAAGTAAGACCAGTGGAAGCCACAGTGCTCCACAGAACAGCAGCTAGTGAGCAGAAGCCACGGGGTTGTCAGGTGAGTGTGGACACCTCTATTAATTGGCCTGCTCTCATCTGCAGACAGCTCCTTGCCCCGCTCCCTAGGCAGCTGGCGATGGAATTTGGACAACCACCAAAGCCTCCCCTTGGATGCTCTAGAAGGCATCATCA